GGGGGCGGGGTCTGGGTGGGGCAGGCAGCTTTGAGGCCACCTGGAGGAGCAGCCTGGCCAGGGGTCGAGCTGGGAGGCCCAGGGCTCACTGGTGTCCACCCGGGAGGTAGGAGAAGACCCCACGCTTAAACCACAGGCACACAGGCCTCCCCAGAGTACTCCGGGACGGGCATTCCAGGCAGGGAGCCTGACGCGCCTTCCCCTGCTCTGCCCACAGCTACGTGATGCGCATGAAGGAGTATGAGAGGGAGCGGAGGCTGCTCCAGCGAAAGAACCGGCGGGAGCAGAGGGCAGCCGACCTGGCCCTGTAGTGGGCCCGCCCAACACCCTGTGGACCAGTGGAGAAATAAAGGCCTCCAGGCCCTCAGCCTGAGCCCGGCCCCTTTCTGTGGTGTGCTGGCCCCCCGCCCCCACAAAGAAACGCGGAGCCTGAGTCCAGCTGGGCAGACAGGTTTTATTCCAGGCTCTGGAGAGCAGTGGCCCCCACTCCTCCCCCGGGACACGGGGTGGGGGACCGAGCCGGTGCGGGCGGGTAACTCAGAGCAGAAAGGGGACGATGGGCATGCGCAGAGGCGGGTAGTCGCGGAACTCCTTCAGGTAGCTGCGGTGCTTGCCCTTGGCCCAGATGGTCATCTGGGTGAAACCCACCAGGGAGAAGAGGGCCACTGTGGGGCAAAGCAGCGTGTCAGGGAGGGCGGCCTGGCCTGGGGAGGCAGGGCCTGGCCAGAGGAGGGGGAGCGGGCTCACCTGGGAGGCACTGCGTCATGATAGCAAAGCCGATCCAGGACCCCACCTGTGTGCAGAACAGGCCGGCATGAGGGGCTGGGCTGGCAGGCCTGTTGTTCTGTTGAGGGCTGGGCCACCTCCCCCCTCAACCCCTACTTTCCAAGTGGGGTGAGAACCAAACTCTCATGCTAGAGGGGCCCCGAGTAAAGGAGGGGCACATGAAGCTTCCCCTCAGCCCACAAAAGCCACAAGCCCAGCCCCTAGACACCAGTCTCTCCATCTCCAGATGCTCCAAGTTCGGGCTGCAAAGCAGCTGCAGAACCAGGCAACCCCCTATTAGGGACTGGCCCCTCCACATGGAACCAGAAGCCCCAGGAAGAAGAGCGGAGGAGAGCAGGGCAGTCCCTCACCTCATAGGTGTAGTTGGGGCAGGACACCAGCAGGAAGAGCCATGTGAAGGGGTTCTTAGTGGGGTAGGGGATCTTCCTGGTCTTGGATCCTAGTGGCCAAGACGGGAAGGGTGAGCGAAACCACCCCCCGGCCCGGCCTGCCTGCCCACCTGCCCACAGCAGGCCACTCACCTGCCGGCCTCAGGTCCCGCAGGGCCATGTGGATGGAGAAGTTGCCCAGCTGGCAGACCTGTCAGAGGAGCAGGGTCAGCCCAGAACCCTCCAAGATTCCCTCCACCCCATCTCCCATCCCAGCCTGCTTACCACAAAGATGGCAAGTGCCAGTTTAACCTGCTGAGCTCCATAGGCTGAAAAGGAAGTAGAGAGGGGAGGCCCATGAGGGGAGCCAGTGGGGGAATGCAGGCTCACGGTGGGAGCAGAGTCCCCAAAGCCACTTACTAGGGGGTGTGTAGAGAGGGTGGTTGATGTAATAGGCCATCCACGCGGCGAAGCCCCAGTAGTAGGTGCAGTTCTGAAAGGGAGCAGGGCCGAGATGGAGCCTGGCCGGGCAGGGCTGGGGTCCACGGGGCGGGGCAGGAGGGGTAGGCCTGGGACTCACCTTGAAGATGTTGCGCAAGGGCATGGTACCATGCGAGAAGCGGTGCACGAAGAGCGTCTCCAGCAGCCGCTTGATGTAATGGAATGAGTGGCAGATGCAGGCGAGGCTGGGGGTGGGGGGAGCCAGCTCAGCAGGGGAGGGGGGCGGTCCACAGGCCTTTACCCCTCGCCCCCCTCGCCCCTCTCCAGCTTGGCCCACTCACTGCACCACCGTGTGCCGGCTGGACGTGAAGTCGTATTTGTGGCCATAGATAAAGGGCACCCGAAAGTAGAAGAGCAGGTAGATGAAAAGGGGCCCCGCGTACTCTGTCAGGAAGACCTGGAAGGACAGGGGCAGGTGAGTCACCCCAATGTGGCTGGCTGATGGGAGAGGAGGCTGTGGGCAGGGTCGGGACTCACCGTCACCCAGCTGATCTGGGCCCCCAGGTCCCGGAAGTAAAGTGTGGCCGTGGTGCCCACAGGCAGCTTCTGTAGAACTTCCTCATCCTTCAGGGACTTGCCCTCTGCAGAGAGGCAGGCCAGGGCTCAGGGGTGGCCCGGGCCTTCACCCACTGCCACCGGGATGCCCAGAGGTGGCAGAACGGGTAGCTGTACTCACTGGGGTCCAGGCGGAGGGACTGGCGGGCAGGGTACCACTGTGGATCTGTGGGGGGAGCGGAACGTCACAGCACAGACTGGCAGGGCCCAAGGACCCCACACCTCCGCCCACCTCCAACAAGGCCTCTCGGCCTGTGTGGCTCCAGGACTTGGCAGGGAAGAGCACAGGCAGAAGTGGGATGTCCTGAAATCTCAGCAAAGGCATTCCGGCCAATAGCCACACGGGTGCGCCGCCACAGGAAAGCCCAGAGAGGCCTCAGCCATACTGGGGGCATCTGTGCAGGCCCTGGGGGGGAGAGGCTCACAGGAGGGGTCCCACCCAGAGGCCTCTGCCCAGAAGAGCCACAGGAGGCAGTGTGGCTGGGCCCTGGACTTACGACTCTTAGTGAAAAGATTCTTGATCTCTGCGATGGTGGCATGGGGCTCCACCTGCAGGAAGCACGGGACGCAGGCAAGTCAGACCTGGGAAAAAGCCCAGACCCCTGACCCAGGATTCCTCCGGTGAGGGGGGATGGACGGCCTAGGTAGCTTCTATGGGAGTGGGGAGCGTTGAAGTCCAGGCCCCCCACCCACACAGTGGAGAGGAACAGCAAGGGCCTGCCAGAGTGGAGACGGCAGCGGGCCTGAGGGCTGTTGCACCAGGCAGCCAGGATGCTCCTGGCCTCCCGGGAGGCAGTCTGAGCACAGGAAGCTGGGCCTGCTTCTCGGCCTCTCCTCTCCACTCCCACCCCACTGACGACTCCCCGCAAGTGAAGGCCCACAGTCCAGGCCAGACCTCCCCTGGGTAGGGAACAGGTCTCAACTCCACCTCTTCCCAGGTCCCAAAGCCCTGCAGGGTCCAATAAGGCTGCACCACCACCTCCTACATGAGGAGGCCAGCTCCTGGCCACACCCCGAGGCCAGAACTGCCCACTCCACCCCAAGCTGTCAAGGGCAGGCCAGGGAAGAGTACCTTCAGGCGCCCACCCCAGACCAGGGGGCGGGGCATCAGGACACAAGCTGGAGGGGCTCTCCCATCTCCCTTGAGACCAGGAGATCCCAGAAGGAATGGGGTCATGGGCCCAGTGCAGCCAGTGCTGCAGTCCTACCTTGTCCAGGAAGCACAGCTTCTCCCGAGTCTTCGCGTCCAGAATCTCCACCTCGAAGAAGAGAACAGCCTTTTTAGGTTTCTTGGTCACCTTGGGGGGCACAGGCCGGGGGAGGCCATTGAGGCCGAAGCCAGGGCCAGGGCCAAGGCCCTGGCTGGCCTCTCGAGCCACCAAGCTCATGCTCAGGTCCATGCCGCCCCGCTATGCCCACGCAGCCAGCAGCCCAAACTGCCAGCCGTCAGCCCCCACCACCAACCTCCCCACACGCAGCGCTCTGGGCCAGGCCGCGCGATCAAATTCTGCCGCGGTGCTGGAAAGGAGCCCACGCCTGCCCTGGCACTGCTGCCTTCTGTGCAGATGTAACCCGAGTGGCCCCACAGCCATGCCCAGCTAAATATAAAACTGCCCAATCTGAGCCCCCCCAGGAGCCATGGCACAGGCCTGGGAGCAGCCCCCCAGGGACTGGGTCACCCTGAAAATGAGACTTTCTAGTGGACACAGCCCCCACAAGAGCACCGGGGAGCAGAGAGATTCCCAGAGGCAGGCATGGAGGTGCCCGCCGGCCCCCATGCCCAGTGCAGGGTGGGGGCCAGTCACCCACGTCCCGGCACCCAGCTCAGGCCAGCAGAGTTCACTGGGCTTGGAGAAACCCCAGCTATTTTGAGAATCCGTGAAATAGATCATCCATTTCCCCTTCTGAGCTGTGAGAGACACTTGGATTATTTCCCTTGTGCATTTATGCTCCCAGGGAGGTGACAGATTCCGGGGTTATTGGTGCAGAGAGCCTCTCTATGTGTGGAAAGGGTCGGGAAACCAGGAAGTTTCCAGAAAGCACCACAGCCTAGGCTGATGAGGCCCCTCAGAGGCTGAGGCTGATGAGGCCTCGGCCCTGCCTCCCTGACCTCCCTCTCCATATATTTCTCACTAGATCCACCCAGGCCATGTTTAAGGCCACCTTCAGAGCAGTCTTCCTGCCGTGTCAGCCCAACTTAACCCCCTTGTCCAGACCCTGAGCCCCCCAAAGCCCAGAGCACACAGCCTGTGCGTGCACACGCTGGCTCTCCCTGAGCCCCAACGGCAGAGGCACAGTGCTGGGTGGGCGGGAGGGTGCCCCAGGGATCTGCCCCACCCACCCCACACAGGTCAAAGCAGTGCAAGCGTGAACTGCTGGAGGAGCTGCACGGAGGCCCAGTGGGCTCATGATCCGGATCCTGGAAAGGCCTGAGTGTCTCGAGCTCCACACCTACCAGGCAGGGCTGGGTCTGACCCCAAGTCAGCCGCTGGGCAGCAGGTGCTGAGGACCCTTCCCACCCCTGGTGGGCCCTCAGTCAGCAGCAGCATGGGGAAGAGGTGCAGGACACAAAACCCCAGGCAGGGCCCCAGCCACCCACCTGCTGATGGATCCTCTGCAGCTGCAGGCCCCCCTGAGGGACTCCCCTCACACACACCCCAACAGTGGGAAAGGTAGAGGACATGGTGGGTGGCACACGGGACTAAATCCAGCCCTGCCATACAGTCATTTGTCTCTGGGCCTCAGCCCGCAGTTACATAAGAAAGCACACACTTCTTGGGAGTATGGGGGTCCCGTGAGACAACACCAGCGTGGTGCCTGAGAGGGGCATAGTGACCCCAAAACCTTGGGCCCCGTGGAGCTGCCACGCATGGACCTGGGTTCAGATCCCGGTTCCCCTGCTGGCCAGCTGGTGGCTGCAGCACTCACCCCCATTACGGACATGAGGGTAGGAGACGGCCCAGCATCCAAGAAGTGCTGGCCAAGCTGCCTATTGTTGCTGCACTAGACAGAGCTCTGCCAGGCCATGTGGCACGGGGGCACGGTTCACTAAACCCCTCTAAGCCACAGCGGGGAAGAACACGGCCAGCCACAGGGAGGACCAGGCCCACCAACAGGACTTGCGGGAGAGGCAAGGGGCGCACACAGAATGTGCCACAAAGGGCTAGAACAGCAGGGCCCCTGGCAGGCACAGGGCCTGCCCCATGGCTGCAGGTATATTAATAGTTGCTGGGTCCCAGGCGGCCAGTGCCCGCATGCCTTCAGAGCCCGTGTGGTCCACAAGAAGGCAGCACCGTGCCTACGGGGAGAAGAGGCCTCTGAGTTCCTGCTGAACCACTCAACAGCTTAAAATACAACCAGCCCCTCTCCCTGCAGGCCAGCTGCAGGGGGAGGGCTGAAATTCTACCCTCCCCCCAACTAGGCACCGCACCAGGGCCCAGGAGTGGAGGACAGCCCATCAGGGCCCCAACTGGCTGCTGGGAGAAGCAGCTAGGTGGCAGGAGGGGGTGGCCAGGAGAGGGGCCGTGCTCCCAGCAGACGCTTCAATGTGCCCAGGCCAGCCCGAGACCGAAGAGGCGCAGCCGAGCCCTCGCCAAGGTAAGCTGGGCCCTCAGGGCAGCACCCAACCCACCAGGGTGGGGGTGCCCCAGCTCAGGGCCACCACAGAAGGATCAGTCCTCACTTCCCATTTCCTGCCCCCAAATCCTGGGACCCAGCAGCCATCTTCACCCCAAAAGAAGTCTAAAGGGCCAGAGAAAGGGGGAACAGGACCTCTGTCTACTATTTTTGCCGCTCTCTGTGCCTCTATAATTATTTCAAAATAAAAAGTTAAATAAGGTTATGCTAGGTGGGAAAACAAGTTTTAAAAGAAACTAGACACAAAGGGTCACATATATATATGAAATGTCCAGAACAGGTAAATCCATAGAGACAGAAAGGAGACTGGTAGTTGCCAGGGCTGGGGGAGGGAGAATGGGGAGTGTCTGCTAATGGGGGCCTGGTCTCCTTTTGGGGTGATGGAAAGTTGTGGAACTAGATAGAAGTGATGGTTGCACAACACTGTGAATGTACTATTATAAATGCCACGATTCACTTTAAAATGGTTAATTTTGTTATGTGAATTTCATCTCAATAAAATTTTTAAAGGAGGGGTCTAACAGGCCCCAGTTACCCATTAAAAAAAAAAGATCCCCCACCAACAGCCCACCCCCAGACTGAGGGCCTAAATGTAGGGAGCCCTGTCATGTGCTCCCCAGTCTTCAGACCCTGAGCTCAGCCCCCTCCAGTCCCCCACAATGCAACCCTTCCCATCCCACTGCTCTGTGCCCGAGCCTATCTCCCATGCCCTAGGTTTGTGTCACTGACACACACACACACACACACACACACACACATGCACGCACACGCATGCCCAAGCCTGAGGCCAACCTGGGCTGGGGGCCCAGAGAAGGCCCAGGACTGGGGTCAGACAGCATAGCACAGGCTGCTGCTGAGCACAGAAGGGGAGGCAGTAGGCCTCCCCTTCCCTAGGGAAAAGGTGGGCTGAGGGACAGAGAGGAGGGAAGGGGCGGGGAGGGGGCAGCACATTCTACTCTATGGATGAATAAAGCGAGGCCTGTGAGGGGGTCACTGGACTGAGGTCCCTCAGTAGCTGCAGGCAGGGAGTGTGGCCCCATGGCCTACAATGGACAGAGGACAAGGACAGTGCAGGCACCCTGGCCTGGGGCGCATAGGATGACAGTTCCATGAGCCTGGGAGGAATTCTCACAGAGGCCTGAGATTCCAGGGCCCAGCCAACAGCTACTCATGGCAGCACAAGGTGGTGGGGGTACCAGGACACGGGGCGAGGCCACAGCCCACTCAGGAGGAAGGGCAGGGGCCATGCTGTGGACTTCCCCAGCCCAAAGGGGTGCACCTGGAGCCACTGCCCAGCAGCAGGCCCCCCGGCCCTTCACTGTCTACATGGAAATAAAGACGTTCCTGATCAGAGCAGCAGTAGTAAAAAGAGGATGCCGTGTCTGAGCACCTGCTCCAAGCTAGCACCAGTGCCCAGAGCCTTCGGGGAGGCCACACTCCAGGGACAGACCCTGCCTGGAGAGGAGCAAACCAGAGCGCAGTTATGCAACTGCAGGAGAGGCTCAGGGCCCTTGCACACGCGGCTCCCGCTGCCTGGAACTCCCCCCAGAGCCCGCGGGGCTCTTCCTCACCTCCACCGGCCTTCAGACGACTTCTCAGTGAGGCCCTTCCTGAACAGCAACTGAAAATATCGACCCCAAACATTTACCGCCTGCCTCCCACTGGGCTGTCGGTCATTACCCAGCACCCGGAACACAGCCTGGCATGGAGCTGTGCTTTGTAAACACTTGTGTGAGACCCCTGGCCAAAGACTCACCCATTTCCTGGCTGTGTGGCCCTGGTCAAGCCACCGCACCCTTGGAACCTGTTTCCTCATCTACAAAGTGGGCTGCCCCCACCTGCCATCTCACAGGGTTACTGTAATATTTACAGAGATAATAATAACAAAAAAAGTACATAAACATACCCAGCCTAGAATAAATCTTATAAGTCATAAACATAGACCAATATTAGCAAAATAGTACTGCTAGATGACCAGGGAGTAAGCCCCTTCTCCCCAAATCCTGCCCAGGGCATGAAGGGACCCATCCACAGGACACCAAGGTCAGAGAGGTGGTGCGATGATGCTTCGTCCAGCTGCTGACAGTGAGCCCAACCCTAACAATAGCAAGACACATGTGTGGGCGGGAGGTGGGGGGCCCCACCACACTCCCTACCCCAGCTCACCACTGAGCTGGAGGTTGCCACATCTCTGCTGCCCCCTTGTGGCTGCGGCCTCCACTCCCACCCACTCAAAGGGCACAGCAGCAGCCTCCCTTCCACAGTCCCAAGTCCCAACTCCAGTGCAGGATGGGACCAAGATAGGCCCAAGAGAATGAGGACTAATCCCAGCTCTGCCACTTACCAGCCAAGAGGCTTCAGGAAGCCCTGCCCCCCATTCCTTCGTCCCTGCCCCCCTTCTGCCCATGCCTGGGCACTGGAGTAAACAAAGCCAGCCCCTGCCTCCAGGGGACCTGCATGCCTGTGTGTGTGCTGGGGGATAAGGAGCAGGGGGCAGGGGCATGTTTTGTCACCAAGGATACTGAAGAAAAACAGAGAAGGAAGGGGCATCACGGGGGGGGGGCCATTTTAGACAGAGTGGTCAGGGAAGGCCTCCCTTACAAATGGGCATCTGAGCAAAGGCCAGTAGGAAGGAAGGGAACCAACCATGCACACATCTGGGGGAAAAGCGTTCCAGGCAGAGGGAACGGCAAGTGCAAAGACCCTGAGGATGGGCTGCGCCTAGCATGTCTGTGGAGCAGGAAGGAGGCCATGTGGCCTACACAGAGTAAATGAGGACATAAGACAGGGAGGTGATGGGGACAGGTCATGCAGGGCCTCGTGGGCCACAGGAAGGACTCTGGCTTTTCCTGAGTGAGGCGGGAGCCATGGAGGGTTTGTGAGCAGAAAAGGGACATGACCTGACGGGTGTTCACAGGCGCCCCCTGGGAACTGGGAGGCGAGGGTGGAGGTGAGGATGGGAGTTGAGAAGTGGGAATTCTAGACAGACTGTCAAGGCGGAGGCAACAGGATCTGCTGACGGTTTGCATGTGGGGGTGACAGGAAGAAAAAATCTGAGGTTTCCAGCTGAGCCTCATCAGGGAGGAGCGGCAAATGGGGGAGCAGCGAGAGGGGCAGGCACCCCCCGAGCCCGGATCGGAAGAGCCAAGTTTATAACTGCTGTTCCACTCTGTGAGAGCCACCAGGCAGACACAACACACAGGGCCCAGGTCACCGGGGCCAGGAGCCTGGGCCCCTCTGAAGCCTCAGTTTCCCCATTTTTACAAACACAGCCAGCCCCCTGTTTCCCAGGCTCCTCCCATCTATAAACCAGACTCAGTGGCCTCGTGGTGAAGTCCACATCCAGGGCCTGAGACAAGGGGCTAGCAAAGGCCTGAGAGTCAGCTTGAATTCCGGGTCACCCTCCTCACCTCCCACTTTTGCACCTGTAAATTCTGTGTGTCTTAAGATGGAACCTACCCAATGGTTTAGGTGAGGACAACGGGCCCAGAACTGCAGCAGCTTCTTAGCCACCTCTCCTCATCCTCTCCTTTCATCTTTATGGAGGCCAAGGGACCAGGAGCCATGAGCTCCATTTCACAGACGAGGAAGCCAAGTTTCAAGGGGTGTGGGGTACACCCAAGTCATGAGAACACCTAAGCCCAGACCCCCCCACCACACACAGGCCTCTGGGGCTGCACCCCCAGCCAGTGCATGCTCTGATGGCCCCCACACAGAGATGACACAGGACAGCACACCCTGCCTCTAGCAGGCTCTCTGGGACCCCACAAGGGACTGACTGCCAGGAAAGGGCCCTTCAACTGGGCTGCCTGGTGCTGGGAGCCTGGCACCACCCAGCCAGTGCCTGCACGGGGCCTGCAGGGGAGTGTATGCTCTGGTGGATGACATCTTCTCCCGAGGCTGGGGCACAAGAGGCCCGCTATTTGTGCAAACCCTGCTCAGAGCAACCTAGGACTCCAGGCGAAGACACAAAGGGCCCTATGGGTCCTTGAGCCGGCTAGCCTGGGCACTCACAGCTCCCATAACCCCCACTCAGGGCACAGCGGATGCCACGCTCCGAGGCTGGAGGCCTGGCCCATCGCAGAGCCTGGCCAGCTCACTCACTTCACAAACACAGAGGCTTGAGTGCATTCACCCGGACTCAGCAGCTCAGCACTCTCGGCTCCCTTCCCCTTCCACTATCCAGAAATATCGAAGTCACACTGCTCCTGCCAGGGCAGCTGAGAAGACCTTGGGCTCAGCTGCCAGGAAGCCAACACAGGCTGCACCTGCTCAGCCAGAAATACCTCCTTCCCTAGTGGCCTCGCCTCATGACCCCATTTCTCTGAGGTGCCTGGGGCAGCTGTGGTAGAGGCTGAATGTTGTCACCCAGGCTGGGAAGGGCAGCTCCCACCTCCTGCGCCCACTGGCCAGACAAGGGGTGCCAGGGTCTGAAAGCCAATGTCCCTGGTCTGTGGGACCCAGGGCCAGGAGAAGCGGGGAGAGCCCCGTGTAGGTCGGTAGCATCTAGACTCAAAGTACATCCTTTGGGTACTCGGGTCCCCCCAGGTTGGTCACTGCAGTCCAGAAGGCCCAAAATGAAGGGGATGCTGGACCATCACAGTGGAGACTCTGGGTCAGTGGGCCTGGGCCACCTGCTCACTGGCACCCGTAGTCCACGCACCTCCCTGGAAGTGCCTGTTCCATCTGGAAGCGCCACCATGAGTAACGTGTATCAGATGTTCATATCATGCCAAGGACTGTGCTAAGACCTTCACCTGCATGACTCACCTGTCCTCACCTGGGCCTGCGACCCCAGTTAGGGGGATCAGATAACTGGGGCTTGGAAACGAGGGAGCCCTCACCCAAGACACACAGCCAGGAAGTGCGAGAGCCGATGCTGCCCCAGCCTACTTGGGCCCACAGCTGCCGCTCGCCATCACGATGCAACATGGCCTCCGCTCTAACAAGCAGGACTAAATGTTAACAGAAAAAGGCGGGAAAACCCTGGATCCGATTCTTTGGAAGGCACCCACCTCCCTGCTGACACTCCAACTCCAGCACACTAGTCTTAGAAGGTCCGGATTCTGCAGAACATGCCACCTCCAGGGGAGTGCCCTATAGGGGAGACTAAGTGCCGAGCCCACTTCTCCCTTGGCCACTTCATACCGAGGACAAAAGGCATGTAACCTCCCGACACCAGAGGCCCAGGCAGGCCCAGCAGCTGTCGCAATGCTTCCTGCACGTTTTCCTGTCACAGGCTAAGGCCATTAATGGATCCAAAGCAGCAGTGCCACAGAGGGGCTAACACTGAGCAAGAGGCAGTGCTGTAGAGGCCGGAGTCAGACCAACCTTTCCTGCCTGAGCCTTGGCTTCTCTATCTGGTTGATGGGAATGTTTATAGAGGACCAAACACAGATGACTCTTGTGGCACACGTGACAGAAGCCCTGCCCAGAGGTCCTGAACCCTGCCTGCTTGTGAGACAGGGAACTGGGGTCTCTGACAGGGGCCCAGCATCCATAGCTTCAAAATCTCCCAGGTGACAGAGGGAGGTGGCCCCCTCAACCTGGGCTGTCTTCCTCTAACAGACCCCTGTCCTTTGGAAAAAGCCCAAAACCCTTACCACAACTGATGCAGTCCTCCCAGAGTCTCCCGGAACCTCCCAGTGGGACCTCGGCCAACCCCCTCCCGGGCCCCTCCCCCTGGGAGATGCCAGGACCCAGCCTCCACCTCCACCTCCACCTCCCGCTGACCCTCTTAGATTGGCAGTTACCCCATTTTACAGAGGAGGAGACCGAGGCTCAGAAGTGGCCAGCCCAGGGGCATGTGGACTACAAGCTCCAGGGGCAGGACCCCATCTGTTTTTGCTCCTTAGGAACTCAATGCTCTTCCTGCAAGGCTGGCCCAGATCTGCACCCCTACACCCCCTGGTCAGGTCAAGGTTGGTGTCACATGGTCTCTCTCTGCATCTCTGGGCAGGATGGTGCTGTCAGATCAGCAAGCTGGAAGAGGCTGGAGACACTGACCCCTGAGGACACAGGCTGACCGGAGCAACAGGAAGGACAAGCTCATCCAGGCCAACACCCCACCTGCACCCAGCACTCCTGGCCCGAGTGCAGCAGGCAGGTTAGTCCACCCCAGGAGCTCAGCTTGTGTAATGGCCAGTCTGGGATCCAGTGGCGGGCCTTATACACGCTTCTTGCACACTCACAATGCGCCAGACACAGAGGCACGTCCTCCACATGAATTACCTCCTTTACTATTAATACCCTTTGAGGAAATAGTCTTATTTATTCACCACATAAACATAGACTGCACACCCACTACATGCCAGGCACTGTTAAGGGCTCGGGGGATTCAGCCGTGGAAGGACAGAAATCCTTGCCCACGCGGAGCTGACATTTTAGCCAGGGAGGAGAGGCAAATAAATAGCTACGCATATTAGAAGATGACATGTGCCATAGGAAAAGGGGACTGGGAGTGGCCGTTGAAGGGAGGGTGTGCAGTTTTATATAAAGTGGTCAAAAACGGCCTCCCTCAGGGGACGTTGGGCCAAGGCCTGAAGGCAGTGAAGGAAAGAACAGTTCAGAGATCTGGGGAGAAGAACATCCGGGCAGAGGAATAGCCTGTGTAAAGGCCCTGGGGTGCATCATGCTTGGTGTGCTCAAGCAACATAGCAGAGGCGAGTGTTGGTGGAGGGAGGGGGCGAGGCGGGGAGTGGGAGGAGGTGAGGGCAGGGTGGCGGCAGGTCGTACAGGGTCTCGTGGGCAGGGTGAGGACTTGGGCTTCTACTCCAAGTGAGGCGGGAGCCATGAAGAGTTCTGGGCAGAGCAGGAACATGGCCTGACTTGGGTTCTGAAAGGATCTCTCCGGATGGTGAGGGAATAAGGATGGAAGTAGGGATCCTCATAAGAGTCTATGGGAATAATTCTATCACCATAAAGGATGGCTAGACCAAGGGGTCAGCAAACTATGGCCCACAGACGAATTTGATCCACCATCTGCCTGTTTGTGTAGAAGCTAAGAATGGTTTTTACATTTTTAAATAGTTGAAAAACATGAAAAGAAGTCTATTTCATGGGATTATATGAAATTCAAATGTCAGTATCCACAAACAAATGGTATTGGAACAGGAGCATGCACATATGCACATTGGTTGACCTATCGTCTAGGGCTGCTATTGTTACTAGAGCTGGTCCATTAGGCACCCCTCCGCTGTTTTCCTGAAAGGAAAGACTTGTGACCCAGTCCCGGGGACTGACACCAGGACCTGGTCCCCAGGGACTGGTGTCACTCACTTTCTCACCCCCATGCAGGTCCCCACGAGCCAAGTGGGATGGGAGGCATCACCCAGTCAGGGTGGGAAATTCAGGCCCCATTTCCCGGTCCCGCCTCAGCCCCGGGGCTGCCCATCTCCTGGGCTTCTACCCGGCCCAACGGAGCTCCAGCCAAGCCCATCAGACCTTCCAGTACATAGGAGTGAGCCCGCGGGCTCTACCTGAGGATGGCTGTGGCCACCTCCTGCGTAGCAATCCCATTCCCTGTGCTCCAGGGGGTAGCAGGCTGGGGGACAAGCACAGTCCCGGAAGCCATGGGTTGCACCCATGCAGAGCAAGGATGTGCTTGCTGCACAGCGACGGGCAAAGGGCTCAGCCACGCAGAGGGCATCTGGAACCTCCAAAGCCTTTTCTGCTGAGAAGTTCCGGTTCTTCATTCATTCAACAAACACTTGCTGAACCCATCCCGTGCTAGGTGCCAGGCTCGGTGATAAAGAGAAAGACCTATATGTGACAGCAAGCTGCTGGGCAGTGTTCCAGGTGCTGGGACACGATGGTGAGCACAGCCAAGAGAGGCATGCCCCCTACCAGGCCGGCTTATGCTCAAGCGGAACACGGGCAAAGCATCTGTCACAGGCAACATTCTTGGGGCCTGATGATCATGGTTTAGTGCTTTCCATGGGATCCCCATCTTATCCTTACAGGACAATTCAAAGTTCAGGTAACTTTGGGTAAAAACGGGGGGAAAAAAAAAAAAAAAGAATGTCCAAAACCCAAAATAACTAAAGATGAGCAGCGACCAACTTCACGACAGAAGGGGGCCCATGCTAATGCCGTGAAGCTACATGTGCTCCAAGACAGAAATGGAAGCGGCCATGAACCCTTCAAGTGTGAGAGGGTCCCTCCCCCTTGAGTTGCAGTGCCTTTTGGGGGGCACTGAGGATGTGGCAAACTGCCTGAGCCTTCCCCACACCTTGCTCTGGGGACAGTGTCTCTAACAGACAGACATACATATCACTCACTCCACAAGGTCGCCTGAGCCCCACCAGGGGCCAGGATTAAAGAGGAGCACTATTCGATGCCCTGCCTGAGCTGAGCTGCCGCTAAGCTGCCAATAGGTAGCAGGATGGCTCAACTAAAAAAAAAAAAAAAAGAGGCGCACTAGGGGCTCACACAAAACTATCCTATCCGCTATCTGAAGGTGCTAAGTCTGTGCAGAGAACTAAAACAGGAGGTGACAGGGTGACGAGTGTGGCCTGGCTGGGTCAGGGGGAGCCTCTCAGAGTAGGTGACATTTGAGCTGAGACCTGAATGACAGGACTCCCAGACTGGATGAGCAGAGCTGCCGCTCCTGAAACCATGCCAGCACTGGGGTTCCCCGGCCCAACCCCAGCCCTGTCCTCTGTGGGTCCCCACCCCCAGAGATTTTGTTAGACTTGATTCTCTGGAGCAAATAGTATTCAACAATATCCTGTTTCAGACTCTACATCTCCCCAAGAATTGTGATATTACCCTCAGCCCCAACAAAGCACCCATGTGGCACCCGCCCCCACCCCTGCTAAGTAAGACTCCTGAGGTGCCTGGGAGACAGCTTCTCCCCACAGGAAGGCTGGAGGCTCCAGCTGTACCCCCTGAAGCTTCAACCCGCTCCCTGATGCTCTGTGAAGCCCCAGTGCAAGTGCTAAACTGCCCTCCCCCAACACACACCCTGAGGACACGTGGGCACTGTTCCCAGGGGCCCCACCACACAAATGGCATGCCCTGGCCAGTACTCCTTGGTCCCTTTAAACAAGGAGAATGGGGAGGAAAGATTTCAGAAGCGCCAGGGGGCGGCACAAACTCTGCAGTGTCCAGGGCTGACTGAATGACTGCTTACATAAGAGCCTGGTTCGAGCAGGGACAGGGACAGGGCTGTGCCAGCCTGCCAGTCACCCCAAGCTACTGAGAGGCCCTTTATCCCTCAGAGGGCTAGGAAAGGCTCGTGGCCCATCTCTAACTAACCATGGGACTAGGGGGCAGGTAGGCCCCAAACCCCATCCACAGTGCACTTGTCAATAAGGAACTACTCTGCATATTTACATAACAAACACCATAACATGAGGGCCCCCAAAGACTTACAAATAAACTGCCCTCTGGCAGTTAACCTTTCAGGAAAATGAGACTTTCATCATCCTTGGGATAATGTCCACCCGCGTCTGGGTGGTTAGAAAGCCCTGCCGGGCGTGGGACACCCACAAAGTCTGGCCTCCAGGCCTCTGCCCCCACTGTTCCCCTCCCGCTCCCTAAGACCCCACTCTTTCAGGCCTCACTTAGATGGAAGACCTTGAGGGCAGAGGCTGTGGTTCATTTATCTCAGTATTCCTGGCCTGTGAAAGGTAAAGAGAATAAAAATATGTTGGAACAAATGAACTAATGAAGAAGGGATGGATTGGAAAACAGATAAGCGGGGACGAACAAGAGAACGCCTGGGCCAGCAGAACCTGCCGGCCACCTGTGCGGGGAGGGGTGGGCCCAGCTGCAGTCTTGGCAGCTCCCACTGCAGGGGTGACTTCAATGTGTGCGACATTATATCAAAATTGGTCAGAGGCGTCTGAGCTTCTTCCTCCATCTTCTGGGCATATTATTAGCACAAAGCCATCTCCAGGAGCCCGATCAGCCTTGTTCACTGACAATTTTTGAGGCGTTCAAAGGAGGCCACATGCAGAAAACACTTCAGGTAGCCTCCCTGCAGATCTGCCCAGTGATTTGTCCTTCTCCACGTAAAGCGTTGTACCTTGACTGTGGACCAGGAAGTATGCCGGCCACTTCACACTCCCCCATGGCCCTCGCCCTGACAGGTGTCCTCACCCTGGCTCCGCGGGTGAGAAAACTGAAGCTTAAGCAGGTTAAGTAACTGTCCCGAGGGCAGACCGGCAGCCTCCACAGGATAGGTCCTTCACGACCACACACTTCATTCCTTCCTCAGTGCATGACCACCTGGGCCCACCCACAGCAAAGCCCACGTTGGCACAGTTGGGCTCTGCCACTCACTGTGTGACACAGGCACGTCACTTTGCTCTTCTGTGTTCCGGTTTCCCTATCTGACAAACAGGGATAAGAACACTACCTACTTCATAGGTTTATTGTGAGGGTTAAATAGTTACTATTATAGATAAAAAACACTTAGAGTGAGAATTACATTGGTAGAGGCTTTATTATTATTATTATTATTATTATTATTATTATTACAGTGCTCTGGCTGTCCCCGGGTATTCAAACATTCTCAGCTGCCGCTGTCAGTATCAGCAAGAGGGTGTTAAGACCTAGCCTGAACTTGACGACCCAGCCCAAGGTCTCTGGCCTTTCTCACCCAGGCAAGCCTGTCAGTGAAATTACAGGGATTCCCAACCAAACAACCTTGTCACCAGAGGTGCAAGTTCCCTCTAAGCACATTCCCCACTCAGGGCTGTCAACCCTCTACCTCCTTTCCTCAGGAACCAGTTATTCAAGAGGCTCTGCGGAGCTCAAGAGCACTCCCAGTCCCAGCCAGTGTGGCTCAACTGCTCCACCCAGAGCCCACCCTCACCCAGCACACAGCTCCTCTCACTGGACTTACCAGCCTCAGGCCCACCCCACCCCACTTTCTCCACCTCGGGGCAAGTAGGTCAGCAGAACTTGCTAAATGTTAGCTGCTGGGTTGTCCCTGGCATGGAGCTGACTGAGTGCCTTTCACATATCTGCTCACCAGAGCAATTAACTCCTTGAAGCCATAACCCCAAGAAGTAGGAACCATTATGTCCAGCGGGGTGATGGTCAGTGTGCAAGGAGGAGCTCAGAAAGGGTCTGAGCCTGATGACACAGCATTTGCCA